AAATTTCACAGCTAATCCTGGAGTTATTACAAGCTAATAGCAACGGGACAGAGACCTCCCTCTGATAACTCTTTTAGTATGGTTGGGTTCCTACTATCTGGAAAAAAATTGCACAAGGAAAAGCATTAATTTAGCAACACGACTATGATACCACCAGTGGCTAAAACTTAAAAGCTCTGTCTCAAAAGTTACTGCAAGAGCACTGATTTCTAAATGTTTTGGCCATGTTCAGGCCCCCAAAAACTGTGGGCTGATGGACTGAAGAGGCATTACCTCAACAGAAGGACAGGGTTCATGGTAAACTCCTAAACATTTGGAAATCACAAATTCCCCAGTGAATCCCTTCTGCATTTTGCATATAGTTTCACTGCCCCTACCAAGAAATGACAGAAGTCATAGTTTAAAAAGAAATTCACTTCAACCTTTTGAGATATTTTCATATTTTTAAATGCTGTAGATGTCACCTCTACTTAATCACCTTTGTGAAACAAAGCTATTATTACTGAGATTACAAGTGTGTACTCTCAGTACACAACAAATAGCTAATGATACACATCTTCAGTTGCTAAATTCTATTGGAAATAAAGATTCCCTTGGAGGCAGGCAAAGAAAGAAAGATCTTTATGCATCCTCCTGTGGCCCTTTAAGTAGAGCAGTTCAAATTTGTATCAAAACTTTTTTTTTACCATACATAATGTGATGCTGTGTGATGCAATGGCTTTATGTGTCATGTTACAAGAACAATACATTAAAAAAAGAAAGTGTTCAGTGTCACTGAGTCATTCAAAATAAGATCTTCTGACACAGATTGCCTTCCCCTTTCTGCATTTACAGACACCTGATGTTGGCATTTATGTCCTTACTGGAACACACCCTGATTTCTGTAATTGGTTTCTGTGCAAAAAATGGCACCAGAGGATTTTACCACTATTTGTGGCATAGCAAACATGCTGAACTTGTGAAGCCCCAAACCCACTCCAGCCCTGGGCAGCAGCACTGCCCCAGGTCTGTGCTCTCCTCCCAGCTGTAACCAGCCCTCTCTCAAGAATTTTGCTCACATCTCATCCCTCTGTGCTTCCTCCTTCTGTTCCATTTATGGCTTCTTGCTGCATTCACCAGTAAAAGGCACATGGCTCATAAACTGGAAAAAACCCCAACAAAAATCTTGCACCCACAAATCATTCTTTTGGGGATTTTTTTGGCTTCCCCTTAAGCAGCAAAATGTTAGATGCCATTTCATTGACAGTGAGGTGCTTTTTAGTCTCTTCTGTACCATTACTCTTGAAGATAACTCTTGGATTCCTGGTGCCACGTTCCAATGCAGCCATCATAAAGCAGAGGATATTACCACTGGACTCACTCGCTGGTTTCGTTAGCCTTGTGTTAATATAAACACTCCCCTCACATCTGGACACACCTAATATTTCATTATCACCTTAAAAAACTGCTCTACCTGAAGGCTGCTTATACACAGAGGTGCTTAAGGTGAATTCAGATCAACTGTCATGGAGACCCATGTGAAACAACACCTACCTTCGTCCACAGCAAAGTGACAGCTCTTGTCGTTGTAGAAAAGAATTTTCTTCTTATCAGGGCGATTAACAAAGATGATCTGGTCCCCTAAAGCCTCAAAAACAAATGGAAAACAACAACTCAAAATCACTTAGTTTCCAAGGTAAAGGTCTCCAGCTCCAACAGAGCCAGACCTTGTGCTACAAAAAGCAACAACAAACTGGAGTAGCTGCAAAATAACTGGCCATGAAACATGGGTATACACTAATAAATCAAAAATGAGATTCAGAGGACTGAGGTCAAGGTGCCTCAGTTGGAATGTGGGAGATCAGGAGTCTTTTGTGAGACAGAGCTCTGAGAGCTGTGCTGAGACATCAGGGCAAATCTGAACATAAAGGATGAAATACAGAGAAGGCCACAAGATTAGATCTGCTGAAATGGCTTCTGAGTTATCAAAAGAACAGAAACGGCTCATGAGAAAACTCGTAGTGTCTCTCTTCCTCTGAGAGGTGAAAGCTGAACTGCAGCCAGGTGTTCCTCACCTTTATGGCCTTCTGTGCATTGGGCAGCCCTTCCTCAATGTCTTCCAGAAGGATTCCTCCCAGCCCTCGCTGGTCGTGCTTGTCCAGGAGCCTGAGCAGAGCCTTTTTGTCTTTCAAGTTGTACTTGGGTTTGAAGGCATACTTCCCATCCACAACTTCTATTTTCGGGTTGTTGACTAGAGCCTGTAACAGGGACAGAAATTTCAAACCTTGAAACACTTCTACTTGTTTCCTGGTGTGCTTTTGAGCACATGAACCATACGTTACAGCTGCCAGGCTGGAGCTTTGAGTTTAAACAGATTCTAAATCCTTGGATCCTAGATCCACCAGCCTAGGCATAATTCACCACGACACAGAGCACCTCTAAGAGAGAAGGGACTCTGGTGCTGCAGGGTATTTGTTTATCTTTTCTCATCCAGCAAAAGCTCAGCGATAACTTTATATATGCTTCTTGGGAGGAGCTCTTCCATTCCATTCTGATATTCTGGCTCATTGTGGAAGATGCCTGGAGCTACCTTTTGGAAGACTTCAGCAAAGTCAAGCTTTCTCCACAACCAACACTGCCAGTGCACAGGTTTCTGTTGCCCAGAATATGAGTGCTGCCACCAAGCAATGTTACAGTATGACTTAGTAGTTTCTTGAAGGAGGGATTACATATTTAATAATTTAACAAATGTGTGTAGTTCAAGTTTATCAGAATTCCCTAATGAAAATCTGAACACGTGTTTTCTTTACCTCGCTCATTAACCATTGTTTCTGCTTGAGTCCAATATCTAAATGCTGTGTTTCATCCAGTATCTCCTCCAGGGTTAATGGATGTGTATCACCACGCTGGTGCCGGGTCTGCAAAAGCAAACAGGATCTCTTACAGTTCTGTACTCACTTTATTCAGCAACTCAGGCACCAAAAAGTAACTGAGATTGGCACCAAATTACACTTTATATTGATCACTAGCCCATGAATCCCAAAACCTGACAGCAGCTTGAAATTCCTGCAAATAAACCCCATTATCTTGGTTGTAAAGTGACCTGGGATAATCAGGATTTCAGTTATGGAATAATATGCTGACAATTTCATTTACTGAAGCACTTTGAATTTAACAAGCCATTTCTTGAAATTCTCAGTCTTGCAGTAAAAGAATTTCAGAGACTGAAACACTCAGCATTTTCCAGGTACTACAGGACAAGAAACAATTTAAGTATTTAAAACCAGTATTATTTTACACCAAAACACCATACCTTCATATAGTTCACTATTTTAGCAAGGACTCCAAACTTGTAGCCAGAGCCCCCTGAAAGGGCTTTCAAGTTAAATGATCCATTGCTGTGATCTACAAAGAAAGAAAACAAACAATTAGAGAGTGCTTTGATAGCTTCCTGTTGGCTCTGAGCTCCATCACGTTCTCCCTCTGCTTCCAGCAGCTTTTGAATCGACAGCTGTGGACAGAAACAGGAGTGGCAGAAGCAGCTACTCTCAGGTGAGTCCTTGCACACATCTTGATCCAACCCAGGGACTCAGAGGACACAGCTCTGGAACATTTCTGAGCAGAACTCCACAAATAAAAAAGTTAAGAAAGCAGCAAGTGACTGCAGAGTTCCTGCCACAAGAGAACATGTTTAATTTGGTGGCTTAACATCCCATAATCATTTAGACTACATGAATCCACGCTGAAATAATGCACTGCACTTGCTCCACCAATACCTTCCTGCTGCTGAGAGGGGGGCACAAAGCTTCCCTTCTTCCCCAAAGGCACTCAGTGGTTACACAGCAGGTAAGGGAAGGCTGTGATTTTTTTTAAAAAAAATTATTGTTTCAAGTAGCTCTAGTGGAGAATTTATTAAACAGATTTATTAAACAGAGCCATACAAATGCAAACCAATTCAACCTGGTGTGTTGCACCACTGGAACAACAACTCAGAACCCCCTCTGTTGTCAACTCTGGCTGGCTTTATCATGAGGTTTGCTATCATTTGGTTTCAAAAGTTCTTGCAAGGTTGTTAATGACCACTTAATTAACGCCAGCTCTTAGCACAGCACATTAAACACAAATATCCACAAACCACTGTCACAAGCCACAGGCTCATTACCAGCACAACACTGCTCAAAACCTAATGGCAACAGTTTTCTGGAATTTCAGCTACTCCAGAAAAAGAACACCATCTCTTTGTCACCACGGGGATTGTTTAATCCTCTGGTGATTTCTAAGCACTTCTGACAGGACAACAGTTATCTCAGAGATACGGAGCTCCTATTGTTTCCGTGGAAAAATCAGTGAAGCAGGAGAAAAGAACAGAATTGTGAAGCTGTTACATGACATCGTCTTAAAGGCTTTACACAGCACAACAATTCTAAAATTAACATAGAAATATCAGTGTAACTCCAGCTACAGAAGAATACTTTGTTCTGGTTACTAAGTTAAAAGCAGGAAAATCAAAACCCAGCTCCCCCTCAAGATGCGGCTGTAGGGATTTAACCCTACAGGGTTCCCTTTTAAGATTAAAAATTAATGTCTATGTAGGACATTTTATAAATAAATAGCAAAATCATAGTAATGTAATGAGAGGTCTGAAGTGACCCAAATAAATTCAGAGGTACAACAAACAGTTAAGACAACTTATCATGTTTTTGCTCTGTCAGATCTGAATTGAATCAGGAAGACTATCTGGTTTAATCTGCCTGCTTGCAGCCTGCTGCAGTCCATGACAAGAGACTCTAACCACACGGTGAGGCTGGAAATCTGCAGATACTAACATTTCAAACGTCATGGTTTGATGGCTGATCCCAGCACAAAGCAGAGCAGGGTCGTGGCCAACGAGCACGCTCCTCTGCTAACCAGCTCATCCCACCCCAAAAAACAAGAACAGGGAGGCGTTCGCTTCTCATTCCAGACAGTCAGAGTCACACTTATGAATGATTTACTCCTGGGGTTGAGGGCTCGATGCAAATGAGCACAAAGGAAGTTGTCAGCAGCATCGTGCTCTGGCCAATGGAAGGAAAGCTCCATCTTAGCTGTGCCATAGGCTGCACTAAAAAAAGGGACCAGAACGGCGCTCTCTCAGCATCCTTTCACACAAGAGGTAGGTGTGTATCATTTTATAACATTCTCTGAGGTTTATCTTGATTACTGAAAGAAAATATGCCTGTAAGCTGAGAACCTGTAAAAGCTTCTTGGAATGAGAATGATTTTTCTCTGGGCTGAGCAGGGTTTATCCCGCTGAACGCGGAGGAGCTTGTCTTGCACGATCAGACGAGCACTTTCACCATCTGTGCACTAATGGAAAATTGATGACCACTCCATCTTACAGCAGAGCTAACACAACAAGCCAAGATTCAGTAAACAAAATGGATTTCGTCCTTACAGGGGAGGTGGCTGGTTTCCTGCAGCCTCACGTTCCTGCTGATTGATTCTATGTGTTTTCACAGAAATGACAGCGAAAGGGTTTTCCTTAAAACAAAGACAGCTCCAGCTGAAATGTGAGCAGTGTTACCTCCCAGGGGGGATTCCGTAAATTAGGCTGCCTAAAAGAGATCTGTGTGTGTGGAGGAGAAACCTGTTCTAGAAACGTGGTATGCACTGGGCAGGGAGAAAATCCCTCTGCCTTGCTGTTACCTTTGGAAACACTGGAGCAGCCATGGATCCAAGGCAAACAGCCGGGTTAGAAGGCACCTGAGATTTGTAAATGCTTTTACCCTGAGATGCCTGCTCAGTGCTTTCTTAAACAGGGCTTCCTCAGGGCTGCATTAAAAAGATTTTCTGCCAGTCATTTCCCTCTGCTCCATGAATATGATTTCAAATAAAGCTGTTCCTCTGCAGTGCCCAAAGATGCTAATGCTTTTAAATTAAAACCTAGTGCATTAAATATTTAACTCATTGCATTTTGGATACGTACAACTGCTGACTTGATTGTAAATCAGACTGGCTGATGATACGAATCTGACCTGTGCTGCTACAAAATAAATAAAACTGCAGGAAACCAGCCCATTTTTGACAGCTTTCAAGGACACTAACCTCATTAGTGCTGCTTTAATTCTGAACAGTCAGCAACAGCTACCTCAACCTCATATTTCAATAATTACAAAGAGCAGCTGATCTTTATCTGCCTCTCCCGTTCAAATCTAAGGAGATCATCATCCTCCTCTTCAAGGGGCATTAAATTCCACCTCCTGGCAAAAAGACAAACATCTCTTCACTGTGCAAACCACTGCCCTGATGTTGCCTGTGGAGTGGGGAGGGAATGGCTGTGGATGGGAAGGGAATGGCTGCCCTGATGGACCCTGTGGGGTGGGGAGGGAATGGCTGTGGAGTGGGGAGGGAATGGCTGCCGTGATGGAGCCTGGGCAGTGGGAAGGGTCTGGCTGTGGATGGGAAGGGGCTGGCTGTGCAGTGGGAAGGGGCTGGCTGTGGAGTGGGGAGGGAATGGCTGTGCAGTGGGGAGGGAATGGCTGCCCTGATGGAGCCTGTGGAGTGGGAAGGGGCTGGCTGTGCAGTGGGGAGGGAATGGCTGCCGTGATGGAGCCTGGGCAGTGGGAAGGGGCTGGCTGTGGATGGGAAGGGAATGGCAGCTGCACTGTGCCGTGCTGCCAGCACAGCTCCTGCCTGGCCATGCCGTGCCCAAGATGCTGCTCTCCTCTTGGGAACAGAGTTATTGCCTTGACAGAGAGCTGTGCTGGCAAAGGGTCCTGGCTACACAGAGCAGATCTGACCAAGCCCTCCAGTGGCCACAGATCTTGATCACTGTGAGCAATATAAATGAAAGAAACCCACCAAAAATTACTAAATTTTGCATCACAGAAACAGTCTGGTTTTGTGCCTGGTGTTTACAGAGCGAGCAAACTTACACGTAACAGATTCCAACAAAACCCTCAGTCCTAGCAATCTGTTTACAAAGTTCAAAACAAAACTCCTTTCTTTCCCAAAGGTATCCTCTTGCCATTTAAAATACACAATTAAATCCTGCTTATTTCAATTACTCCTCAAAGGGGACTCCAAATCCTTTTATTCAGCTCCCCTCTCTCTCTTTCTCTCATGGATTATTTTGAAATAAATCTTCAAGCCACCCCTTCAAAAACCCTCATGACTTTTAGCCCCATAACAGGTTGGCTGAGTTTCCTTCCCACACCGTGACCAAATCAAGCCACTCTCTTGAAGCCAGGACCTGACTCAAGCCAGGAGTATTTTTAGCTTGGATTTGCTCTGTAAACTTTTGTTTAAGGAAGAAAAAAAAACCACCAACAATTTAATTAATCCCATCCATCTCAGTCATACACTGTATACTCAATTACTGATTTGTGTACTCAAGCTACAGATTTAACAGAGGAAACAGTAAGTTACTGCAACTGCTCCAGTAAATGTCTGTGTGGAAGGCTAATGCCAGGGACCTTCCCAACAACAAAGCTCTTTCGTTTCAATTTAAATCCATTGAAGATAAAAGGATAAAGAACAAGATGTATAATAGAACAATAAAAATCAGACATACATCACAAGCTGGTTTGGCAGCACGATCCTGGTTTTCACCATATCCTTTTCTTTAGTAACTTCACAGAAATAAGGACAGGTGCTCAGACTACTTTAGTAGACACCATCACCACCATGTTCCACCTAAAAACTCCCTATTTCCTCAAGGAAATATGGAGACCTGACTTGATCTCCTCCCACACCCAGTTTTAAATTGCCTGAGGAATTCAAAGGTTATTACCACATCCTAGAGCCACAGCAGATAACCAGAAGTTACCGTAGCTCCTTGGACAACTTTGATTGCATTAGACTATTGAGCAAAAGCAGATTTTCTGGAGTCAACTTCTTGCTTCACCTCCCCCAACACCACAGAGCAGCCTCTTTCCTCTGCTGGGTGCTAACCCAGGCTCGGGCATGGTTGAAAATAAGAAATAAGAGCTCCTCAGAAAGGGTTGGGTTTTCCTTGTTATCCACCCCAATGATTACGGCACCACAAAGAAGATTCCCAAAGGCTCCCAGCGCCATCTGGGCAGCCAAATTTCTCCAGCACAAACTACTCAGGAATGGAAGAGCAGGGGAATGAACAGGCCAGGAAATCTGCCCTCCTGAAGTCGAGAGAGTTTTGCAGGTGAACAAGTCTGTGCTGACAGGCAATTCCTAAGTAACAAAACCTTTCACACCACACAAGCGGCAGCCCCAGGCTGACAGTGCACAGGTGGTGGAAACCACGGCACACCTTGAAAATCTAGTTTGTAAGCTTTCTGTCTGTGCATATAATTGAAATAAAGAAGCAAAGCTCTCTCATTCCTGAATCACATACACCACATGATGCCTGCATGAATCAGACACTGCCAAAATAAATGTTCCAGGTCTATCACAAACTTATACATCTGGAGTTTGATATTTTGGTGAGCAAATATGAGTATGCAACAATCCATGCTAGTAGAAACTTTGAGAACTTAGTCTTAATTTAAGTAACTCCAATATGTGATAAATATCACAGCATGTCCTTGACTGACAGAGTCCTCAACAGCTTTGCTTTTGTGTTTCAGCTCCCAAATCTGTGCCAGTGAGCATACTCAGACAGCTCTTCAAGAATGGCAACCCTCAACAGCACCCACTGGAATGAGACTACTACATCCATTTCCCAGTATCTGGGCTTCCAAGTGCAAAAAATTTACCCTTTCCATGACAACTGGAACACTGCCTGCTTTGTCATCCTGATCATATTCATCTTCACTGTAGTTTCCCTGGTAGTGCTGGCTTTCCTGTATGAACTGCTGGACTGCTGCTGCTGTGTGAAAAACAAAACTGTGAAAGACTTGGAGAACGAGCCCAATCCCGTCAGAGCAATGCTGAACAGCTTCAGGAAGCGCGACACAGAGGTGGTGTAGGAAGCACCCAGCACCTGCACCTGGAGAACTTGGTTTGACACCTGGAATGAAGCCTCCTGTACCTTACAAATGAGCGAGTCACGTGCTTTTTTTCTTTTGGACTTAAATATCCACGGCGGCAATTTTATCTCTGGATGCGAGCTGGAATAATTGGCAAAGGCTTTCCAAGTGCTTAGCAGAAAGCAGTGTTATGGGAGGGAAGACAATTGTTTCTAGATGAACTTTTGCTGTTTATATTGAGTGACTAGCATAGAATTTTGTCTACCTGACCCAACAAATGCTGCCTAACGTTCATAAAACTGTGTTGCTTAACTGAAGAAAACATTTATAAAATGCCCAACAGTCTGATCATATTCAGCAGTGTTGTCCCACCGAGTCAACCACACAGGGACAGGACAGACAGACAAGGGGCAAGAAAAAAGTTGGGGCAGGAGGGTTGAGTGGCAAGAGACCCTTCAGGCAGGAGAGGATTGGGTGCGTTCCAGCCTTTGGCAGCACTTTTTATTATGGGTTTCTTGCTTTTAGAAGAGAGGGTGGTGGGAGGAAGACTAAGCCAACAAGAAATGTATTCCTAAAATGGTTTTTTCTAGTCCCCCCTAAAAGGCTAGTTTGCCCCTTCCTTCCCCCACTTCTCCAGTTTCAGGGAACTCTTCTCCCCTCAGTTCATATGCAGTCTGGCCAACAGTTTCTTTGTGTTGACACCTGCATAACCCACTACCTTCAGAATATGAGACCCTTTCAAAAAATCCTGCTGGAAATGAACAGGGACAATTCTCTGCCCCAAGGCTGCTGCTTCTGTGGCAACCACAACACTACATCTATCACCCCTACCCCAACTTTCAAAGGCAGACTGGAACTGGTGGAGTTCTTGCCAAGAACAGAGGGAGAGGGGCCACAGACCTCCCACACTGAAGAGGGGGATGGCACCCAGCCAAGGTGCAGCTTTCAGCACTTTGCACAAGAGAATCTCACTTGACTTCATCTGCCTGCTGACACATCCCAGAGTTCACACTCACCCCTCCCTCATGTCCTGGCCACAGAACTCTCACACCTCTGGCTCACCAGCCCTCTGTAGCTGTGTCGTGTCCGTGATTTTTAAAACCATTCAAGTTTTGCAGTTATAAATGACAACTGTAATAACAGTGTCCAACAGTGTAGCCATCAGTAACTCCTGGCAAGTCCTTCACCCTCCTGAACCCCCACAGAAATGTCCCAGAGCAAAGCTACATGTGGGACAAGTTATTTAACTGCATTAACCCCAGATAACATTCCTGTCATGAAGGAAACAAAGCCCACCTCACAGTCCATCCCTGTCCAAAAAACCTTGGTGCTATGGCCAGTACCTGTAATGATCTCTTTTTTCACATGTGTCAAATCCCCCATCTCAGGCTGAGCATGACTAAGCTCCAGAAGATCTGGACACAGTGGAAGACTTGCTAATTGACACGTGCTGCTCCTGGTTGGCGAGATGGAGTCACAAGGAGGAGACACCCAGGGCAGGATGAACTAGCAGAGCTAGTCCAGAGATTCACCTGGAGAAGCAAACTCCCTCCTGCAGTCACAAATCCCCACAGGCACACTTTTTACAGCCAAGTTTGGCCAGGACCAGTCCCTCATGCAGAGAATACTTCAAGCTCAAAATCAAAAGCACAAGTGATGGAAGCCAATGCCCTGAGCATGAGATCATTTAGGACTGAGATGTATGATGAAGATAACGCCAGTGGTGATAAGGATGGCATGTCACCTCCTGCTGCGTGGCAGCATCAGACTGGGAAGTCCTGCTCCAGAGGCCAGAGTAGCCACCAGGATGCATGGAATTAAATCCCGTCTCTCTCCTGAAAGGAAATGCTCTGGGCACTTGCAGCATTCCCACAAAATGCCCATCATGGCTGCACACAAGAGGGCAGTGTGTGCAGCGTGCCATCCTCCGCTGCTCTGGCAATGCCTTCCCGAGAAGCACATGGAATGACATATGTTGGGACTCATCCCAGCTTTTTATTTCACAGGTCTGCAAAGGGGAATGGGTGTGGGCACAAGGAACAGAAGGAACAGAAGGCAAAGGTGTCCCCCTGCACAGTACCAGAGAAGACTCAGGATGATTCTTTCCCCTGAAAGAGCCCCTGAAGATTCTGGCTCCTGACAACTGTTGGCAGAGACCACTGAGATAAAGGTCTCAAGACAGAGACCACAGCCACAATTTACTATTGATTAATAAAATGAAACAAACAGATTTGATCCATTTCATTTATTTTCCAGTTCCTATTCTGAACTGAGTAAACTAGCTTTGAATTTTTTCAACTAACTTGTTGCAACAATGGCAGTAATGTCTGTATAACAATCACTGTAGGAGCAGTGGGGAGCTTGCAGCCAGACTGCACAGGCAGGCCAGATTTAGCTGTGCAGGCTCCTGAAGGTTAGCATGGTCTCCATACCTCTCCTCCCCCAAAAAGCGTCAAGGGCAGGCTCTCTGAGCCACAGAACCAGAGAGTGAGGGAGGCACCACACACCCAGCCAGCACACAAACATTGTGACTCCCTTTATCACCTCTGTGGCCACTGCACAGCAGAGCCAGCACTGACCACACTAGTTGGTGTTTCTTTGGGCGGTGGGACAGGGATTTCCCAACATCAGGTTTTTACTCCACCTCCTGTCTCTGACACCCACATATCCTCACAGGCATCTGCCAATCTGGCAAGTGAAACAGAAAGTGGGTTTTGAGGCAGTAGATTTTGACTCTGCAGCATGAAAGTGTTACAGAAAGCCTGGAACCTCTCTGGTACTGCCTGGAATGCAGCCAGCACCATAAGAGATCAAGTTTATCTCCTCAGAGCCACACTGGGTCCCTGTTTGTAGAAGCGAATTGTCTGACAGCCACAAAAGCACTTAAAGAAGCCCTCAGCCCACGGAAACCACAGAAACAAAACCAAACCTGGTCCCTGTTTGTAGAAGCGAATTGTCTGACAGCCACAAAAGCACTTAAGCCCTCAGCCCACAGAAACCACAGAAACAAAACAAAACCGTCTTTATCTGCTCAAATCCACCAGATCAGGCTCGCATTTGTACCCTCTGCCCTCCTCCTCCCCCCATCCCTTCTTCCCAGCAAACCCCGCTCACCCCAGTGACGCAGCTCAGGATATTCCACGCAGAATTTTGTTTTATTTGGAGTGTCAAAAAGGGATGGATGGATGGAAACCTGGCCTCCCTTGATTTATTTTAGAGTGTCTGGCCGATACTTTATTTGGTGCCTGAGAAGCTGCAGACACATACCCAAACTCCCAGCTCTTCCCCTGGGCAGAAGATGCTGCACTCCTCCCAAGCTCCCTGATGTTTCTCTCTGTTGTTTTTAGCTCTGTTGTTTCTCCTGGAGTTTAGGAGAGAGCCACGTGTGGTATTATTCAAAATACGAGTGTGGACTGAGTTTGCACAACAGGGTGTTTTGTGGTTTAGTAACTCCTGGCATTTGATCTGACCTTTAAAGAGCACTTGAGAACTGCCACTGCTTTCGGAGCAAATCCTCTCCCTGGTGCTGCACTTTCCACACACTCCCACTGCTTTTGGTGCTGCTTTATTAACTGTTTATTTGATACTGAGGGACTCATTATCAGTGCCAGCCACCCAGGGAAATGCCACAGCTCCTCAGTAAAGCAGGCAGAAACTCCTGGAGTGCCTGGTGCTCACCAGCAAAGCTCAGCTCCCAGGTGAAACAAGGACAGCTGCAAACCAAACAAGATGCACCTGGCAAAATCCCTCTCGGGTATGAACACCCTCCAACCCACAGTCACCTCAATGCTTTAGGTGCTCTCTTGCCCGAAATAATCACAGAACAGGCTAAAGATCATCCAGTTCCAAGCCCCGGCCAGGGGGACACCTTCCACCAGACCAGGTTGCTCCAGGCCCTATCCAACATGGCAAACTCAGAGAAAATGAATGGCACTGCCAGCCCAGCGAGCACCGAAACTCAGAGCTCCCAAAGCACACCCAAAGCACAGTTTCACATCCGTAATTTTGGCAGCAGAGATTCCTCCAACAGAGCAATTGCAAAGGAGCCATGAGGTGAGGCTTAGCACATGTGCACAGTAGGGACTGGGTTTTTCACACTGTGCAAGTGGCTTCCTTAACAAAAGCGGTAACTGAGGAGAAATAATGACAACAGCCACCAGCAAAGCTCACAGATACAGCATTACTCACGTTAATAAACCACGGCTTACAGGCAAACAGCAGCAAACACCCAGCAGCTGCTGGACAGGAGACTTCCACCCACCTGTGCTTTGTTTTGAGCTGGAGGAGCCCCCTTGCTCTACCTTGGCCTTCTTCTTCTTGGAAGCAGAGGAGTCGGAGGAGAGCGCTGGGCGTTTCTCTACAGCCGGCGTGGAGAGGGCTCTCTTTTTGAACAGCTCCCGCTCCCTCAGCAAGCTGGGGTCCATGATTCTGCAGCGCGGGAGAAAAAGGTGAGAAAAAGGTGTCGGGGTTCAGGAGGAGAAACAACAACCACAGGCCGAGCTCACTGCGGCCCCACCAGCGACTCCGGCTCCCGCCCCACACGGGACACGCCGAGAGCCCCGGCAGCCATGCCCGAACCGAGCCGGGGCAGCGTTCTGCGGCGTCCCTGGGGAGCAACCGACTTCCCCGACACGGGCTCCAACAACACAGCGCGCCAGTGAGGAGGGCGAAGGGGAATGCCGGGCAGGGACAGGAGAGCCGCGAGCGAGGCACCTCACGGCCCCCGGGGGCCGCTCCCCGGTGCCCCTCTCAGCCCCCCGGTGCCCCTCAGGGCTCCCCGGTGCCCCTGTCCGCCCCCGGCCCCTCAGGGCGGCCCCGCCGCTCACCCGCGCGCCGCCGCCGCCTAGCGAGCCATGCCGCTCCCGGCAGCCCCCGCGCGCCCCGCCCCGCCCCGGAAGCGGGCCGCCCGTCGCCATGGCAACGCGGCCCGGCCTGCCCGCCCCCCCCCACCAAAACAACCCGTTTTATGTAAATCTTTTTATTAACATCGCGTTTCACACAGTGAAAAGAAGTCCTAAAAGTGCAGTAGGAGGGATGCAGAGCAGGGGCAATTACAGTCCCTGTGAAGCAACGAGCTGCAGACAATGCTGGGAGTGGTGGGAAAGGCTATTAAAAAACAGTGCAGCTCGATTTCCACATTCAACTGAAAATCCCTTTTCTGGTTTCTGTTTTGCATTTCTTGGTGTGGGTTCCAGCTCCAGCTGTTGCTGCCGAGGTTCCAAACCATTCTGGCACCCTCCTCTTAGTGGGGGGACAGGATTTCTGGAAGGAAACAAACGCACAAATGTGGAAGGACCGCACAGCCAGAGCCTGCCTCACTGGCACAGCTCTACTGCTGAAGCTCATGCTCAGCTGGAGCCACAAACTGACCAAATAGCTCATGGAAGGCTTATGACCCACTCAAATCCAACACCTTATTCTTAAGGGATTAAGAACTCAACTCTGAGAATCAAGGCTGACAAAGATTTACACTCACAGCAAGATCCAACTCCCCAAGAGAGGCGAGGGGTTCAACAGTTGGTGCTGGGCAGAGACATGAGCTCCCTCTAAAATAAGAACTCTTAATGTCTGCTCATACAGCTTGTGTTCCTGCAGACACCAGTGCAAAACCCTGAATGTGATCAGCACAGCCTCACAGAACCCTGTACTTAAAAAGGAACTAAACATCCTCCTAAAACATTGGAAGCATCTGCCACAAGAGAGGTGACAAAACAGACTGGGGGAAAAGCTTCCTGTAGCGATGTATTGCTGTCCAAGCGGGATATTTGGACACAGCAAGGACCAAAACAAAGCAGCGTGGCACCACAGTCTGGGGGCCAGAGAGAAGCTGAGAACTGGGCTGCTGAAGGTCACCACCCCACCCAGCAGCTCTGGGCTGTGCCCCTGCCTGCTCACCTTGGGCTGGGAGTCTGCAGGGAGCTGCTCCTCCTCCTCGGGATGCAGGGCAGGCTGGTGGGAGGGGGCCAGGGTGGTGGGCTGCGAGGGGCCTGCTGCCCCCCTGCTCCCTGCCCGGCTGGCATCCACGCCCCCTGCAGCCTTCCAGGGGACAGAAAGGAAGCACAAGGTTACCTGGGGCACAGTCCCTCATCAGAGACCCAGCACCTCTCCCTAGTGAGGGCACTGCCTATTTTGTGTTCATTTCAGCACAATAAAATCTGAGCAAGTGAGGTTTGTGCATTTCAAATACACAGCAACTGGAAATTGTACTTGGCCCTTTTTTTAAGGGGAGAAAAACACTTCCTCCATCCTTATGGCCCTGAAAATTTGAAATATTTACTTCTGCCTCCCAAGTGTTGCATTTTCAAATGTGTTTTTACAGCTAAAGGGTCAGTTAACAACAGCACAGTGGGCACAGAGATATGAACTCGTGTTTTCTATACCATACTGCTGACTGACGTTTTTGCACCAGCTACACATCCCTGTGTGACCAAAATCCTAATGGCAGGTTCACCACATGCTTTGTAAGAGTGAGAACATCTGTTTACCCCAGCTGAAGGCACCACCTGCTGATGGGTTTTCTCTGCTCCTTCCCTGGCTGCTGGATTGATCCCACCATCCTGTAAAAGCAGCAGCAGTGTCAGGCCTTTCAAACCCAAGAACACCCATTAAGAGATTTAGAATTGCTTGCTACAGAGAATTATTGGAATTGAGATATCTTCTGAAAGAGAAATAAAGACTGGATTAGCTTTTGCATTTGCAGTCTGTTCCTTCAGATTATATTAATTTGATTACTAATAGCATGTTATTCCCACTATTAGCTCCAGGAGAAGGGAAAAGTGTGATCAGAGTTCAGCTAATTGCACTGTCAGGAGGTCAACTGGAGGAAAAAGGCTCTGAAACAGATATTGGACAAACAAAACAGCACCTGGAGAAGCAAGAAAAATCAATTTGGCAAAATGGCAGTGCTTGAAAAATTGTTTGAGCCAGTGTTTAAGAAATCAGCCCCAAGCCCTGTAAGGAAATGCCAGCACAGGTAGCAGGATCTGGAATATGGTATTTCTTTTTACCATTGCCACCAGGTGCCACTCAGTGCAGGGTGTCCTTTGTACCAGGTGCTGGGACAGGGGGTCACAGAGGCCAGGTGATAGCTCAGACTATCCTGTTTGATTTTCTCAAACAGCAGAGAGCTCCTTAATTCCCAAGATTTGTTCTCCAGGAGACATTTGTTTTCAGGCTGTGCCCAGCAGTTTCAA